CAAATTGCCCGTCCAACGATTCCAGGTCTCTAATGGTAGCCTAGCATTCATTGATCGATTCATGATTTCAGCGATACGAACCCTAACCAGTGATCAATAAAAATTATGAAATATGAGATACAATTTTTTTTTCCAATCACATGTTACATGTACATGTACATACAACCATACTTGTTATCATCATCATCATCATTTACAAAAACTTATTCAACTTGTTTTAGAAATTGAAATGTTCTATTTGTAATGAATGAAATAACTAACTAACTAACTACTTATTCAAGAAATTTATTTCTTGTCAGTGATATTATATTTAACTGAATATTTTTCAATCATTCATTCATGCTGCTGAAATTTGTTTTGTTTTGTTTCAAAATATGCCAAAAATATACATCTATCTACATAACAATTTGATACCAATTATTATTCATTCATCTTGTATTTTGTTGTTATTATGCATTAAAAATGTTTACGCTAGAAACTGTTGATAGGGAATTCGTTTGTTGATTAATTTAAATAAAATGTACATATCATTGAATCCCTACTGTGTCAGATAAAAAATATTCATTTATCAATTTTTTCTTATGATTTCATTGTAAATGTTTTCTAATGAAATAGAAAGAATAAATTCTAGAAATAATTATTACGGTTTCGAATTCAATGTTCAATATTAATTAATTCTAGGAAAAAAACCATACATTGGAAATGGTGAAAATTGCTTCATCATAATCTTGTATTTTGTTAAGAGTTGATACATAAGACGAGAAACATAACTGAATTAGGATTACTAGTATAATCGATCTTAGACATTTAGTCAGAATACACTGACTGATCTAAAATTTTGAATACATTGCCAATCTTATCACATATGAATGGTACACTCCTTGCTAGGGAGAAACTCCATGTTTGTTGTTGTGGCTTATTACAATTAATTGGGAAATCTTTTTTTGAAGTCAAACGATAGTGAGAACATATGTTACTGTTTATTCAGGTGTTTATGCGAAGAAATCTAATAATTCATGAAGTGATGTCAAAACAAAGTAGTAGTGAATCATAAACACTTTAGTCCTATATAAAATAAGCTGACGGCAGACTTAGGTTGAAGTACACTAATTGTATTTAGTTACAACTGCATAAATTTCGAATATAGTCTTTTTTCAACAGTTTGTTTGAAATAATCACTCAGATAAAGTGTTACTACTACTTAAATAAATAGATGTATTATTGTGGACCAGTCGTTACTGTTTTAAAATAACAATGAAAGCTATACAGTTAAACTATTTAGTGTAGAGATTGTAACAGCATTTAAAAGTACACAATTCAGCATCAGACCTTCTAAATTGTTTCAAAGAAATTCAGTTGTAATGTTCCTTTCTTTGTGGTCTTAAACACAACAAATGGAACGCATCTATTTATCTTAAACAATCCTTTCATATAAGGTTGTGGAGATTGGTGAGTTACTTTCAAATCATGAAACGATCAATGTTGGACTGCTGTTAGAAACCTGGGAATCATGGGACTCACCAGCAGTGAGCATCCATGATTCCCGCTATTCACAGGAAGTGGATGGCTCCCTAACATGATCGAAAATAGTTATATGATCAATAGTTATTAACTCCGTGAAGATTTTTCTAATAGTTCTAGTGGGAAGTCATAATCAGTGGAGTCCAAACCTTTTACGAGTGTGAAGTAATGTTCACCGAAGACAATGGATAAGGTTGCACAAGACCGTGAATTGGTCGAGGTTAGACATTAACACAATCGGATGCCGGCTCAGTGGTCTAGAGGTTGAGCGTTTGCCTCCAGAACCGGAGCTCCAGAGTTCGATGCCAGTGAGTAGTGGAAGCCAAGAATGCTCGCAGGACGAAGCGGCTATTCAGTCCCTCCAGGAATCTAATAGCAGTCTAAATTCTGTCTTCAGCTATGTGAACCATCGGTTCTAATAATAAACATCTTTTTACCAACTGCGTTATGAAGAAAAATGAATTATTCTATGTAAACGCTGGAATATTCTACTTGCCTATTTATTGAGTTCAAGTTAAAAACGATTTTTCATACTATTGCATAATTGCTTATTATTGAAGAGAGTTAAAAAAAAATTAAGGGAGTTATACCCCAAGCTTAAATATATTAAACTCTTCTTCATATAAGGTTGTGTAGATTGTTGCGCTACTCTGAAATCACGAATCCATCAATGTTAACCACTGTTAGGAACCTAGAAACACCCGATGGCTGTTTAGTCCCAGTATGAGACTCATCAACAGTGTACATCCACAACTCCCGTATCTAGCATTAATTGAATGGTGGTCTAACATGACTGAAAATTATCATGTGATCACTAGTGACTAGCTCCGTTAGGAAGTTTCTCCGAATCGTTGTGATAAGTCGTGACCAGTGATGTTCAGCACTGTTCCAGTGTGAAGGATTGTCCAAGGAAGACAGTGGATGAGACTGCGCAAGGCTGAGAATTGATCAAAGTTAGACATTACCATTATTGGATACTTGCTCAATGCTCCAGAGCGTAGGTGTTTGCGCGCGAGACACCAAATATCCTAGGTAGGATTCTAGTAAGTAGTGTGAGTCATGGATACGCTCTACTGATGAGTTCCATACCAGGATGAACTGGCCGACCAGTGCCCCCAGGCATCTAATAGCAGTCCAACATAGATCGATTCCTAATCAGTGAACACCATCAGTTTTAACAATAAACATCTTTTTACCAACTAAGTTATGAGGAAATATGAATTATTCTATGAAAAAAACACTAGAATATTCTACTTGCCTATTTATTGATTTCAAAGCCAAAAAAAGAATTTTTCATTCTATTGCATAATTGCATTTTATTTTATTTGAACAGAGTGAAAAGAATTAACGGAGTTATTAACCATCATGCCAAACACACAAAATAGAAGAAATGAAATGGAAAAAATCAAAAACGATACAATCAATAAATTTGAAGTACATCAAAGTGCAAGTAAGCATAAATTGTCCTCTCTCCTATCTTTTTTTTTTCCTCACACTTTGTATACACAAAGTATAAAAATATGCACCTTCTTCTTCACATAACATATTCATGTACGCGTCAATGTTTGTTCACTTTCACTTCACTTTACTTACTTACTTACTTAAATACCATAAAAATAAATGTCATACAACTTTATATATACACACATTCATTCATTCATTCATAGTGTTAACGATGATTATTTCATTCAAAGTTTCACTGTTAAAACAATTCATTATGTACCTAAAACAATTACAGAAACCCGTTTAAAAACGAAAAAAAAAAGCACACAAAAATACTCCAATTATTGATGAAGATATTTATCTGATAATTTATTGACTAACTAACTAACTAACTTACACTGTGACTGTCAGATTTCAAAGTAAAAATCACGTTTATATTTAGCAAATTAAAATTAACTAACTAACTAAAATGGTCGGCAATTGAAGAAGTTCATTGAAAAACTCTTTAAACACTCAGTATCATGTGACTTGAACAATTCGATTGTATGGTAGATAAATCTAGAAAGATGTGTATAAGTGTGTGTGTGAATTGGCCTTCGTTTTACTGATCGTGTTCAATTGGTATCGAGAGTAAATGTTCAATGTTTATGATGCCGAAATAAAAAATATTGATTTCTAAATGAATGTTGTGAAAAATTGTAGTTTATAATTGTACATTATTTAGTTGATGGAATGCAATGAAAATTATTTTCTAGTGGAAACGATTTCGATAAGGGTTTATTATGTAAATCTTAACAGTTGTACTTGTGACTGTACGGTATGAATATATCAGCTCGTATTACACTGTGTAGATTAATATATTTATATTTTCAGGCAGAGTTTTGGCGGTTTGTGTTTTTACACATTTGAAATCATCAATCAATCATTGTTAGACCACGATTAGAAACCTGGAAGCACTGCAAGACACCCGTTTCGTCCTGGTATGGGACTCATCAGCAGTGCACATCCACGACTCCTGGACCCCGCAGGTTTCGTACCCGGGACCTTCGGTGTTGTGCGTGAACGCCTAACCATCGGACCACTTGACACTGCTGATGAGTCCCATACCAGGACGAAACGGGCGTCTTGCAGAGCTTCCAAGTTTCTAATGGTGTTCAAACAATGACTGATTGATGATTTCAAATATATTTATAATTTGAACAAGAGTTGAATGTCGTTATTCTTATGATCAATTGTAGAAACAACATTTTTCTGTTATAATAGTTTTTAGAAAATAGCTATGTGTTGCTCACGATCCGTTGACCAGACAGCATCAACACCAACCCATTGTAGAAGAGAACAAGTCGGATTCCAGTGGAGGAGAAAATCAGGAAGAAGTGCTGGATTTGAATAGGACATACATTGCTGAAAGCATACAACTGCATCACAAGACAAACTCTCACTTGGAATCCTCATGAACGAAGCAAACAGAAAGACCGAAGAAAATACATTACACCGAGAAATGGAGACAGATATGAGAAGAATGAACGGCAACTAAACAGAACCGGAAAGGGAAGCCCAGGACAGAGTAGGTTGGAGAATGGAGATTGGGGGCCTATACTCAGTTGGGGGTAAGTAAGTATTGTATTGGTGTCATTATTTTATTATTCGTCTGAAGCTACTGCCGATCCTAAGCCTGGATAAAGGAGCAGGGTTCGGTATGGGGATAGCGACCTCATCCCGTAGAAAACCAACTCGCTAACAAATCACTAACCAGAAAAAATAATTCAAACATACAAACTCTGCCCTGGGAGTTGGAAGGTTTTCATGTAGAAAAGTTATCAGGCCTCATGATGAAAGCCGAGGTTTTCCGAAATTCACGAGGGTGTTGCCTCTCTACACATCCAGAAACATCATTAATTTAGGTACATGGAATAATCTCATTTACATGTATTTCATTAAAATTAGGCTTTCTGATTAAAAATTTCATGAATTTTTCAACTCATTATATAAAACACATGAGAAAAGTAATAATAATAATAATCATTATAACTTACATTGACTAAAGTGGTTAATGCATTGACATATTCTTTTTCAACATGTATAAGTTCTTTAACAGCATGCCGTCTTTTTGACTGGAAAATAAAGCAGAGAGAATCGTATGGACAAATTATTATATGTTCGTTTGCAATATTCGTCACAATGACAATGACAATTACACAGTTAGAATACCAACAACGAAATTAAAGGATATTGAAGATTCCCATTGTGAAAATTAGTACGAACAATATTGTTGTTTTCAGTTAGATTGTCATCAGACTTTACTCTCTAATATACGTGAATATTTTTATATGAAAGGGTTGCACAAATCAACGCAATTCGAGTCAACAACAAACACAATGATGAAATAGATCACGTAACTAAACATAAAAGGTGGAAAAATACAAGTTGATAGTCGGAAGACAAGTGTACTGATAGTAGTAAGAATAATAAAATACGATAACAAAACTTTTATCAATAGTTCAACATTGGGATACTAGTATGTCAAAACATTAAAACCATTACGTGATAAGAAGTGTGTAGTAAAGAATACAAACGGAAGGAGACAGAAAATTACCAACAAATAGATGATGTGAAAATAATGCTAATAATAACAAAATAAAATTATAAAATTTTCTAAAACGTTAGTTAAGTCATATCCGGCGACGGAAGTGATAGGAGTGTCAAGAATTTCTTCTGAACACATAATTCTAAAAGGGAATTACGATATCAAATGGATAGCGGGGATGCAGATGAATGGTCTGGACTTCACAGATGACCTGGCTATTCTATCTCACACGCAACAACAAATGCAAGAGAAGACGACCAGTGTCGCAGAAGCCTCTGCAGCAGCAGATCTCAACATACATAAAGGAAAAAGCGAAAATTCTCCGATGCAGCACAACATGCACCAAACAAATCACTCTTGATGGAGATGCCTTGCAGGTCGTTAACACCTTTACATATCTGGGCAGCATTATCGACAATCAAGGTGGATCCGATGCAGATGTGACGGCGAGGACCAGGAAAGCAAGGGCTGCACTTCTACAATTGAAAAATATCTGCAACTACAAACAACTTTCAACCAAAATCAAAATCACAATTTTCAATACAAATATCAAGACAGTTCTAATGTATGGAGCGTAAACTTGGAGAACTACCAAAGCCATCATCCAGAAGATACAAGTATTTATGAACAGTTGTCTACGCAAAATACTTCGGATTTGTCGGCCAGACACCATCAGCAACAACGTACTGTGGGAGAGAACATACCAGATTCCAGTGGAGGAGGAAATCAGGAAGAAGCGGTGGAAGTGGATAGGACACATACCACGAAAAGCACCTAACTGCGTCACGAGACAAGCCCTCACATGGAACCGTCAAGGCAAAAGGAGAAGAGGAATTTCAAAGAACACATTACGCCGAGAAATAGAGAAAGACATGAGAAGAATAAACAAAAACTGGAAAGAACTAGAAAGGGAAGCTTGGGATAGAGTTGGCTAGAGAAAACTGGTAGGCGGCCTATGCTCGATTGTGGGTAACAGGCGTAAGTAAGTAAGTCAGTAAAATGTATTTTCCTATTTTAAACAATCATTCTGTTGAAATAAAATAGTCAATGAACTTAGATTCATATTTCTGTAATTATCAGCAAACTATTAACAAACATGCGATATTTCCAGTGCACAATCCAATACAACAAAATGATATTTGAAGAAATCTATAGATTACAAAACAACTGACTTTCCTAATTATTATTCGTAAGTGTTATTCGTAAAATAGTGTCTCCAGATGTTTTGCAACACATGTGAAATTTATGCATGATGAAACTTTTTTGAACTAAACTATGTTTAATTAAAGATACAGATTATTTTTATTGTTAATTTTTTGAGAGGTTTTCTATTCACAACTTTCAAAAATTGTTCATTGGAAGAATCATGATACATATTCTTTCAGTGTTCATAACAAACTGAAATAATTGAATGGCGTTTGAGATAATACATTTGATTATAACAAATGTTTTTACATTTATAGTTTGGGTTCTTTATCTCTATCTCTCTCCTAAATAAATCATTTTGTAATTTAGTGTAGGCTAAGTAAATCATTTCTTCAACATTCCAGATATTAAAACGGTCAGACGTATTCGAACGTGTTCATATCAAGTGAAATTTACCTGATTTACTCTCATATTCTTCAATCAGTTGAAGTTGAGGAGTTTTGATTTCGACTGAACTGTCATTTTCAATTAGAGTTATGGAGATTAGCGTTTTTTTTTCAATTTGAAATCATCAATCAGTCATTGTTAGACATCCATTGGAAACCTGGAAACACTGAAAGACGGCCGTTTCGTTCTGGTATGGATGAGGTCGCTCAAAATCCCTAGATCAATCGGAGTTAGACATTAACATCGTCGAAACCCGGTCCAGTGGTAAAGAGGTTAAGTGTTCGCGCACAATACCGAAAGTCCCGGGTTCGAATCCTGCGAGATGCATGAGTCGTGGGTGAGCATTGCTGATGAGTCCCATACCAAGACGAAACGGCCGCCCAGTGTTTCCAGGTTTCTAATGGTGGTCTAACAATAGCTGATTAATGATTGAAGTATCATTAAAAACCCGAGGATTATTGGATATCCCTTTAGGCCTAGAATGGTACCTTCAAACATTGAGTACTAACGACCTTACTAAAGATTCAACCATAAATTATCAGGACTGTAGTTTTGCCTTTTAATAATATAGTCTTGATCTGATTCAATTTTCAGTAGAACGCGACAATAATCCACTCGTACTGAAAACTGCTTCACTCTATTTTGTTTCTTTATTAAATTAAATACTTGACTTAACACTTCTCTCAGTATCACTATACTTTTCACTCTACATTCTGTACATACACTTCAGAAATTCTAATTAAATTTTCACTCAACTGAAAGTCATTTATGTGCGTTTTTTTTGGATAAAAACGCTATTTGAAGACTTTTTGTTTAGGAACAAACTGACAAATGAAAATCAGTTCAAAAAATAGCCCAACAACTGTTACATTCTAGTCTGACCGAAAGTGACCTTGGTTTCATATAAGGTCAGTTCTTGTAATATTTGAATTTTCAGTAGGATTTTACTCAGTTACTTACGCCTGTTACCACCAATGAAGCATCTACCACCGACCATTATTCTCTAACCCTACTATGTCCTGGGCTTCACTTTCCAGTTTTATTCATGGGGTTAGCGACCCCGTTTGGTGGAAAACAAACTCGCTAAAAAAATTGATTTCGCTAGGACTGATGAACAGTAAGTAGATTCCATTTTCTTTCAGATTTGATTTCGTTATCGGTATAGTCAGTTACATCCTGAGTACGTGGAAGTTTGTCTCTCGGATACACTTATAGTACAATAAATTCTTTGCAAATACTACGGATAGAGCTCTAATCTAGATGCGTTTTTTGCTCACAAGTTTGTGGTTAACTAATACCTATGAAATTCCAACACTTAACTATCAAATGCACACTATTTTTTCCTGGTTTTCTTTTTAGCTGACATTATATCCATTGGAGTTTAGTGAGAATAATGTCATGATTCTCTCAATATGAATTCAGTACGCATCTGTGTAACTAATGATTTCTAATATAGAAGTAATCTTTTTCCAAATGTTGCGATATAAAATTTAGAAATAGTGTTTACTGACTACTTAAATTAATCAAATCAATACACCAATAACAGACTGTAATCATCAACTTACCAAGATTAGAACATTTTTATCAGATAATGAATTATCTGATTGTGGATGTTTTGATTCATTTGAATGAGAACTATGCTTATCCGACTCGTTATTAATATTATTTTTAATTTTTGATATTTTGTTAATGGAATGTAAAACTGTAGTAGTATTATTAGCTGTATTCAATTCTTCACCAGTTGAATGATCTTCATCTACTGTTTGTGTATTCCCACTGCTACATCCTCCACCAGTTGAACTACTACCTCCAGTATCTAATGATGGTAAGGAACTTGACGAACCTAAAGAAAGAAAGGAAACAATTGGCGAGTTATGTAAAATGCAGTTTTAAATGAGAATGTACTTCAATAATTAGTAATTTGTTTCGGCTTCATAGCTTACGCTTTTTAGTCCGTTCATAAAAATGTCGGGGTTTATGTACATTAGATAATTTAACGTTCCCATCATCTGCAGAAGATCGGTATTATCAATGATAATAGATGTTTGAAGATGGATCATTACATATAATCTTATTGATATGTACCTTTCAAGGATGATCATTGCATGAAAATTACAACCAAACAGACTGCAGCTGCAATAAAAAAGACCTTCAATGCAGCTAATCTGAGGCTTATCACAACAATTCAAGCGATCTCAGTTACCCCAATCAAGTCTCCAAGACCGATTCAGTCCAAATCCCACTGTATTTACCAATTCACATGTAACTGCGGAGAAAGTTACTTAGGTAGGACAGATCGCCGATTGGAGGACAGGATAGGAGAACATATTCCAAAATGGTTAGTCAAATCCATGATTCATCACCCTAGCCCGTCATCTCAAAATCGATCAACAAAACCCAGCCACGTCCATTGCAAAACATCTAACGATGAGTGGTCATCAAATTGACCCAAAATCAGCCTTTATAGAGTTGTGACATGTCATCAAAACACACACACACACACACTCAAACTACTCGAAGCTATCTTGATTGATCGGAAAAGTCCAACTTTATGTGTTCAAAAACAACTGTATGTTGACTTTTGTTTACCATGGTTCAAGTCAGTGAATGTCATGCTAAATAAGAAATGTTGACCTTATCTTCAAAACTGCTGTATTTACACGAATAACGTGTTGCTTGTATGTGACTGACGAGAAAGCACGAAATGGTACTATCTCACAAAATATGTCTTCTCATTTCTCTGTTCAAATTTATCAAAGGGAACCACTGTTATTGATTTGAGTCAACAAAACTCCGTAGAATCTGATATCTTAAGTTTGATCCTTGATGAAGTAGAATGGAGTGATCACTTTTAAGAAGTCTCAAGCTTGGTGACCATGTAAATTGAACGATAATCAAAGGTTTCGAGTCGACGCATAAAATCAGATAAATATGAGCAGCTTTATAAAGATAGAATCAAAATCTAACAAAAACTTAGTTCATGGTGGATAGGAATCTAATAGACTGTCTCGGTACGCATGAATCACGTTTGAATTATAAATAAATAGTTTCCGGCAATACATTGTGAGTTTAAGCTTCAACCTATCCAAACCTTCATCTGAGTGTTGTTAATTGGGTAAGAAGTTGAATCGGAGTTCACATTTCATAAATCTATAACATTTTTGTAAAAGAAATAATATATGTTATCCATAGTGTCTCACAAAGTTGCCTGGAACCTCTTTGATGTTACTGTCAGTTCCAAGCCCGGATATAGGAGGAGGGTTTGGCGTGAGGTTAGCGACCCATATCTTAGAAAACTAACTCGCTAAGAAAAAAACGCTAACCCGAAAAATCGATTCAAACCATTCAAACTCTGCTATAGATTTATGTCTCATACTTAGTCTCTATGTGAGATGTAGGCGAAGGATACTATGAATAACTCACAAGCTTAGCTGCACACAAGTAGTTACATAAACACTTCTGTGAAAAAGTATAAAAGTGCATCGATTTTTATTGATTTCCGTTTAAAATACAATATTCATATAATCCAATAAACCTTTATCGTATCTGTTCATTTACTCTCTTGTTTCTAGTCGAAGTTAGAGATTGATAAAAAAATTTAAGATATTTTTCCGCCCTAGGGTTACTACCCACCACTTGCTCAGATAAAGGAGCACGATTAGGCATGGAGCTAGCCACCTTATCCCGTTTAAATTCAATTGGCTGAAAGAAACCGCTAACCAGAAAACTAAATTCGCTGGTCGTCGGCCTATATTCCATTACGCATGACAGGTGAAAGTAAGTTCATTCTACAAACTGCAATAGTATTGTCAAAATACATAATCACATAAATCAACCTTTTGAACAGAAATATTTTATATATCGATTAAAAGATTTCAAAAATTGTATCGTTTGTAAAAAGTGCGATTCATACTGGCTTAGTAATCAATGAAAAATACTCCTTATCTTTCATCTAATGGTATGTTAGGTGCAAATTTAAGTTTATAAATTGAGTGGAAGATGACAAATAAATAAAAAACTAGTGAAGTAAGACTATTATCTTTTTCCGCAATATTCATAGTTTTTGAAGACTGTGAAATTTTACAATTAACAGTGAGAAGTGTTCCAAGTCAATCATATCCTGAAAACCAGAAAGCCGGATGAGTGCACGTCATCCTAGTACATGACTCCTCAGTAGCACTCATTGACAATCCTCAAGGTGTTCATTACTCGCTGTGAGTTAGCTACTAAAATGGTTTGTCTGCTTCACTTAGATTTATTTGTATGCCGCGAGGTGTAGGAGTCGTGGATGCGCACTACTGAAGAGTCTCATACCAGGACGAAACGGCCATCCAGTGCTTTCGGGTTACTAACGGTAGTTTAACAATGATTCAATCATGATTTCAGTGGGCAAAAATAAGGATCACTATAACTCTAATTAAAAATTTGTATTATCGTACAAAACCTTTCATTGCCAATAATGAGTGGATGCATTAAATTTAATAGAGCTGGACCTCATCAATCATAGTTTCTCACTTAAACTCAAGGAAATAACTGACACAATTTTAATTTATTAGTCAGCCCATAACTACTGTCATTACATAATCAGTTCAACGGAAACAGTTCGCATTCTCTTCGTCAATAAAATCACGTTTTTCCACTGAATTAAAACAAATCCCTCTTCCAAATTCTTTTTTCTTTTAAAGATAGCTTTTAGATGTTAAGATTTATCAAAAAAAAACTCCTTTTTTTCCCCAAGTTTATCTCACTTATACAAAAGTAATTTTTTTTTCTTCTAAATGGAATTTACTTATTGTCTCAGTCTATATAATGTTGTTTGCATGTGAAATCTATGTGACATAGTGTGTGTGTCTCGCTAACTTATTTTCTGTCAGACTTATTTCCTTCAACTATGAACAGATGTTAGTAGTGCACAGTGGAAATTTAGTGTACAAATTACTTCAAATATATTTGGTCAATATTCTATACATAAATATATATGCATATGAAATTGAAAAGATGGACATTTTGCACAAATTTTCTTTGTGCATAAATCTTTCTTCCTCTTTCAGATTATTTCTGTACTTCTGTAAATCTTGAATTTCACATAAATTTTTAATTTGCCTTAGATTGTTCGATTGTTTTTTCCCAAACAATCAAAATTTAAGATTTTAGACAATTTTTACTGATGACTTTTGTTTTCATACGATAGACCTTTCATCTTATTGAATTGATTTTGTTTGAATGTTTTGCTGAATGATATCAAATCGGACATTGATCAAAATCCATTCAAAGATCAAATAATGTTGAGTACATAATTCAAATGAGATATGAATGCACAATATTGAGGGGCATTAGAAGACATCAAATGAATCTATTTACATCATAGTCAGTCAGATGCAACGTAGAACTTTGTACATAAGTACATCAGTTCATGTTGCCATACCACATTGGCACAGAGATGTAATTGTCAATTCAAATCCAATAGTATAAGAGGTAGTAAAAGTATTAGAAGTAATCGGAGAGGTTAGGATTAGAAGATATTATTCAAGAAGTATGATTCAGTGAGAAAAGTTTAGAGAGTCGAAACTAGAGGTTTTGAAGAATACAGAAGATTAGGATTTAAGAGAACACAAAGAATAAATGCACCGGCGCGATTGCAAACGATTTTGAGCCATGTCGTTCAGGGTATCTAACCATCGATTATTATCATCTCGCGGACCCCAACCAGGTAGTCGAAAACTACCGACATGGCTAAGTCCACTCGTCAATGACTTCATGGATTTGTGCCATGTTTTGGTTTGGCCGCCCTTAACTTTCTTTCAACCTACTCCTGCACTACAAAACAAAGCTTGACGAGGCAGTCGGTGGTTAGGCATACGTCACACATGTCCCGACCACCTCAACTGATGAAGTTTCACCACTTCATCTATTGATCTGCCATTATTACCTAGCACCCGTTTCCTAATAACAGCGTTGCTCACTCGGGTGTCCCAGGATATACGAGCAATGCTTCTTAAACATCTATGATCGAATACTAGTAACCTACGAACATCTTCTACTCTTAACGGCCATGTTTCACAGCCATAAAGTAGGACGGGGCAAACTACTGCACAGTGCACTCGTCCTTTAGTCAGCAAACGGATATCTCGCTGTTTATTAGTGTGATGGAATTCAACAAACAAATTGAATATTTTTATGTGTTACAAAGTTGTTTCAGAATGAATTTCATGGGATTTGTGATAATAATTATTATCATCATGAGATTATAGTCTACAAAATATTTGAAAGAATCATAAGTTTGTGCGGTAGAGTTCCGTTCTGTGAGCTGCATACTGTTTTGATTGTGGAGCTTTCATTGTTTAGCTTCGGAACACAACATTATCAGCACAAACTGTAGACAGAATCTTAAGTTTAATCCTTTTTGGCATATTCACTCCTACTTTATCATTAAAATTTATCGTGTGAAAAAAAGGTTCTACCTGATTTGATGAATTTACAAAAGAATCCCTTTTTTCGATGAATTACAAAGTATCATTTGATGTCTTAGAAATACTACAATAGCATCTCGTAACTTGTGGATGATTGGATTATTTGCGTATTAGTATTATTATTACTATTAGCAAAATACTTTTAAAGGAAACCTCATTCAGACTGACGCTAGTAAATATTTGAGATTTTTCGAATTTATATTAAAACTAAGAATTATTTCATCAAGATATTCATGTTATCGTAAATGTTAAGAAATTATTTCAGGGAATTGAGAAAGTTTATTTCAGTGAAAGTTATCTTTCACGAAAGAATGAACCCGTAGAGATTACAGACTACATCTAGAAGGTGTTGGATATTCGTTTCTTTGTGGTT